AAAAAAAAAAAAAAAAAAAAAAAGATTAAGCTTAAAATGTTTAAATACAAGTTACACACTTTAAAAAGATGTTTACAATTCAACTACACATAAGATGATAAATGACAAATGCACTTTATTTTTAAAGAGGCTAGAAATAAGTCACTGTTTTTATAGTTACTATAATGCACCAATATACATATGACATAAACGAAGTAAGACTTTCATTAGATTTAGTATCTATGTGGCAATCAGTGCGTCACCCCTTCTTAAGACTGAGAGAAGAGGAGAGAAATGACCCAAGAACAGGAAGAGAGATGATTGCAAGAAAAAATGTTAAAGGACGTGGTATATTTAGCCTGAATATAAGTCAGAACTGACAATGATTTTTCCAGACTATGAGAAAGTTAATCATAAGAAGGATGCTGAGTAATGTTTCTTTACTCAACCACGGTCAGAACTGCAGGAAATGAACTTAAATTGACCTGAATCGTTTAGTTAAGTCTTAAAGAACTTCCCATGACAGCAACAGAAAGTAAACTCCAAAGCAAGCTCCCAACAGAAGCTTTGGATTTTTTAAAAAATAGTTGTTGACTTTATTTGTTTGTTGTTTGAAGATATACAACAGATATCTCTTTTGGATGACTTTGCTATATGCCCTTTAAGGCTGGATTTAATAGTATCTTCATAATGTCTTCATAATATCTTCATAATAGTATCTTCATTTAGCTTCATAATTCAATATGACAAAATAGCTTACACATACACATTCCCAGGTTATTAGGTCATTTATTTAACACAAAACATTTATTGCCTCTGTGTAGGCTTTCTATATGATGCACAAGAAACAGACAAGCAAATACTGCACCTTGGGTATATGGAAAGCTAGTTTACATACTAGATTTGCTGAAAATAAATGATTTAGAAATCTTTCAATTACTTGATTGAATGCGGAAAACTCCTTGTGGAAGATAATTATCAAAAAAATAAATAATTCTTTACAGTGGGAACTTTATACTTGTTTTTCTAATTAGGTTATGATTTTTGTTCATACTTAGCAAATAGAAATGTTTACAGATGAGAGCTGAGGGCAAGTGCTAACAAAATTTTGAATACGTTGTCATATGAAGGCTAAAAGCTCAGATAGGAAGGCAAAATGAGGACCAACCTAGACAGACACCTGGTTTTTGATGTTTGTACAGCTTCAATTTCTCTCCTCTGTGCACTTAGTAGTTTCCTACTCTTTTTGGGTGGCATTTTTTTTTTTTAACTCCATACGATTCACCTGTGCAACAGCTCCGTCCATGACCTCCATTTCTGATTAAAGATCAATCACTGGTTTGAACTGTGTGTTCTGCAATAGCATATTCAGTATGATCTTTGTAGTGGAACAGGCTGATGGGCAGCTATTACAGCAAACAGACAATGTCGATAACGAACCTCCAAATTAGAGGCTAAATTTTACATATATTCAGGAATGGAGAAAAGTTTATTAAATATACCTTTATTTATTCCACAGAAATAATCGAACAGATAGCTGTGTATTGAATAGTCTTCTTTTTCCCACTGGCTGAACCGACCCTTTCATCATATACTAAATCCCCAAGTACACCTGGGTCTGCTTCTGAACTCTCAATTCTGTACCACGTGGTTTATTTGCCTAGCACACTATTTTAATTACCGTAAGTTTATAGTACACGTTGTGATCTGGCAAAAAGGCGAGTCTTGCTTGGGTTCTTCACGTTTCAACATAATCACAATTTATAAGACATAGTTTGCATTTTTCACTGGTGAAGGGCCTGCATTAATGCATTAACAACTGATGGGTGTAAATAAGTTCTAAAGAAACTTAAAAATGAAGTAAGGGCTTTATTTTTCAAAATCAATCATGATGAATTTTTAAAGACGTAGTTAAAATTTTTTTTGATACAATGCTTAAAGGTTACGTTCCATTTAAAGTTATTACAAAATATTGGCTATATTTCCCGTATTGTAGAATACATCCTTGGAAGCCTATCTTACACCCAGCGGTTTGTACCTTCCACTCCTCCATGCCAATCATTATGAATTTTGACATAAGAATTTGACTGGGATGTTCAGATTAATAAGATGAAAAAGATTATACTCACTATTTATTTTCATAGGTGGATGAACGAAAACTTTCATCAAACATCACTACATAACATTTTAAACGTATTAAGACTCTTATGCATACGTTTACAATCTATAACATCCAGCATTGAAATGAGTCTCTAAAATTAATTTCTGCTTTAATGTTGTATGAATCTATGGAAACTTTTATTAACACAAACCTTTCTTAGAGGCTAGAGATGAAAACTACACGAAAACTAAAAACAAGGAAAAGGTTCAGAGTTTCAAACCTCAACCACCTCTACCCTTTCCAGAGAACAGCGTCACTGCATTCAGGGCGTGCCCGTGCCCACTGATGCTCTGCACCTTCATTCCCACCTGACAGCTCTGCAGGTGGCTTGACTGTTGTTAGGCCTTTCCCCTCCCAACACCAGCAAGGAGACTGGCCAAAGAGCTAGAAATCAATCCAGAGGTGAGGCCATAGAACCATAGAATAGACTATCACACATTATTTCTTAAAAACCAGGATTTTTTTGATGAATTGGGAAACTCTGATTCATTGACATCAACTAAAGAGAGAGCCTCTGCTTCAACTTCATAGTTGCTCTCATCTTTCTTTCCATGAACGAGTCAAAGATCACTTGATTCATGAAACCTCACTTTCATGTTAAGGCTTCAACTCACAACCAGTTAAATTTTGGAACCACTTTTTGAGAAGAATAGACATTATTTAGGCTTACCATTAAGTTATTTTTCTTATAGACACTAGATGGCACTGGAGAGTAGATGAATGTAGATCCGGGCAGAGGGTGTGAGCCAGGAACCCCACATACACTGGACCTTGAACCACATGCCTAACTTTGTTAGCATAATTTCTTAGAAATAAACCTACTAAAGTCATTGTGCATTGAAAAAAGTCACACAGTTACTCTAAACTACTGGCTGTAAACCGGTTTCTAAGCTAATACACAAAAGCTATCCATGAACTTACTTTATGAATTATAAAGTTTGACGTATAATTAGAGATCACTAGGTTTCCAGCTTTCACAAGCCACAATTACAGGCAACACAAGAAAAACTATAGTAATGACATTATAAAAAATGTTACATAGTAAGTGGAGTATGTGACTAGGTATGAAAGAGAAAACCTGTTGAAACATTAAAAAGTGAATTAAGCAAAATCTTAATCATGGAAAAATCAGCTTTGCCCAACAAACATTTCAAGAGCACCTTGTGTATGTTATGTGTCAGACACTGGTATTGGTCAGAACACAAAAGGCTTCCTTTCCCAGCTCCAGATTTCTCACAAATTGCTT